TCTATCCGTTAGCCTTGGTCAATGCTCTCGTCGTTATTCGTCCCGTATGCGGTCAATCGTCGGCATATATCCTCACGCGCTATGCACATGCATTTTAAAATACAGCGCGAACAGCGACCTCATGCGGCCACTATTTTTTTATGCAAATCAGTTGGGGACGATCGAGAGCCTTGGTTCAATCGTCGGCAAAAGCTTATGTTTTTCTTTACTTTGCGCTAGATTTCCAGCGCACGACCTCGTATGCGAATACAGATAATGTAGGCGGGGCTAATATGTGGAGTGTCCAAACACACCTTGGTAAATCCGGACGTCATCAAATTATTTGCAGCTATTCCGCCTTTTGCGGACGTGACAGGAACCACAGTTTTTGTGCATTGGTGCCGTGTGCAGAGACACACAATGTGTACGTGCATGGATTATGTACGGTGCCACGTTTCACTATGCAAGTTTCCACGCAACGATCGACCAATAAGAAAACGACAGTTAAGGTCAGCTAAAGCTATTAACATAATGAGCACCACCCCCAAAACCTCACACGGACGATTGAACCAAGGCGCTAGATCAGGTCCAACTGATTTGCATAAAAATAGTGGCCGCGTGAGGTCGCTGTTCGCGCTGTATTTTTAATGCACTGCATGCATAGACATAATGACTGCATGCATAGCGCTAGCGAAGATATCGTTTACCGCGCTACGGCCGGATGAATAACAACTAGCGCCTTGACCAAGGCTATCTATCCGTTGGATGAACGTCAGCCACCTTCTACAGTCAATGCTAAATTCACTTCAGACCAGAAATGCAAGTGAAGTGTCAGGAAATTAATGTCTTTCGTTTGCATTTCCATCTTTCTACAGGTGATTAGAATGAGACGTGGAAAACAGTAGGCACAAAGATTCGTGAAGGGTTATCAATGATGGTGCGACGGTGAAATGAAGAGGGCAGCACGCACAAGTTGGGTTTTATTGCTGTAAATAAAAAGCATCCTTTTATTTGGTGTCGTTTCATACAGGTTAAAGATTGTCTTGATCTTGATATTCGGTCCGTTTAAAGCAGACACGTGTATGGAGCGATTCACCTCTTTTTTAATATTAACCCGCGCTAAACCTTTGTTTTGATAACTTGAAGTGCAGAGGCGATGCTGTGATGTAAATATTTTAGCATATTTTCCATATTTCGTTTTCAAAAGTAATTGCATTGTGCACTTGCGTCGATCTTCTTCTGTAAATGGCGATAGAAGGAAATCAAGAACATCATGTGACCTGTCTAAATACCTCAATTTTTGTAAGCTTCGTAAAATCTGTGAAAATTTAAAGGTGCGGGTATGAATGGGTTTTTTTCTTTTATAGGACATTCTACAGATAGATCAGCTGCAGAAGAGGCGATTTTATTTTTTTTGACAATCTGTTTTAACACCTTGTATCAAAGTTTGAAAACGATACTGCCAAACTTTTAGAAAGAATCACATACACCTAAGTCGATCTTCTTCTGTAAATGGCGATAGAAGGATATCAAGAACATCATGTGACCTGTCTAAATACCTCAATTTTTGTAAGCTTCGTAAAATCTGTGAAAATTTGAAGGTGCGGGTATGAATGGGTTTTTTTCTTTTATAGGACATTCTACAGATAGATCAGCTGCAGAAGAGGCGATTTTATTTTTTTGACAATCTGTTTTAACACTTTGTATCAAAGTTTGAAAACGATACTGCCAAACTTTTAGAAAGAATCACATACACCTAAGTCGATCTTCTTCTGTAAATGGCGATAGAAGGATATCAAGAACATCATGTGACCTGTCTAAATACCTCAATTTTTTAAGCTTCGTATAATCTGTGAAAATTTAAAGGTGCGGGTATGAATGTTTTTTTTTTCTTTTATAGGACATTCTAAAGATAGATCAGCTGCAGAAGGGGCGATTTTATTTTTCACACAATCTGTTTTAACACTTTGTATCAAAGTTTGAAAACGATACTGCCAAACTTTTAGAAAGAATCACATACACATAAGTTATGTCCATTCCCATATGGTTTATCCGTATTATTAGGTACAGATAGTTGCAATGGTGTAATACAAGTGGTGAGAGCAGAATACAAATGGAATAGACCTCATACATAGAGCGCCCTCACAGAGAACATATCTCGTTATTGAAAAAGGTGACAACGAAAGTAAAAAGTGTCTCTTCGTGCGTATCACAGTTGAGCAAAGACCAGCCCACATTGAGGGCGCTCTACGCAAGGAGTCTAAGGCTTTGTGTGGCAACATTGTAATGACTTCAATAGAAAAACTGTTGTGTTCAAGCTTTCGTGACAGATCCCAACAACTTTTGGTGTAATGAAGGCCATCATCACTCATTATATCCTGCCTTCGAATGATTGTTATATCAATTGTTAATGATGGTAAACTGCTGCATATTCTGTGTGATTTACTTCGGAAGGAAACGTGTAATTCCCAGAGTGAACTGGATATTTTATTTCGGAGACAACTACAATGTAAATAGTACTGAGATAAAAGTATGAAAATAAAAGTATGAATTTAAGAATGTGGATTATTTTGTATTGTTTTATTATGCATAGGCCTAACTGTTTAACACAGGATCGATCAGAACTAATTTGACGAGGGACAAAATAAAGATCTCTTCCCCGGCCGGTCGTTCTGATCGAGAATGATTTACTCTTTCTATGGAAGCAATTAAGTACATGTATATTTGCACAAAACAAAAAAATCTCACAACCGTAAAGACTTCCCACTGAGTTTGCTTGACATTATTTTATTGGGACTCGATATTGGGACGAACATTATTCATCCTTGGCATCGACGGTGCCAAGCAAATGTTTTTGCATTTGGCCACAGATCTGCACAGAATGTTGGATTATAGCAGTGTCAAAAAGGGGCGGGGCTAACCAGTTTTTCTCCTCTCCGATGGACAATGTTAATTGGTTACATAATGGAAAGAAAATTCCAAGTTTTCTGAATAATGTCATCACCCAATATTAAAAATCTTGATGTATTGCTTCAGGCTTATGTCTTTTCACGCTGCTGCGGCGCCACTGCACCCCTAAACCGCCCCCCCCCCCCACCACCACAAATCTGGGACTTCAACATCTAAGATTTCACCCCCATTGGAAATCTAAGCTTTTGTTGGCAGCGGCGTAACCAGGGTTCTCACCATAGGGCCTAGGGGGCGAGTGGAGGAGGAGCTTGATGTTACAGTGGGGGCGCCCTGTTAAAACCGTGAACTATGGTAACTTATATGACTAAAAACTTTCCAGTGGGAGTTTGGGGGCGACATTTTTCGCGCCCACCTCCTCCCTTCCCAACCTCGACCCAATCACTTTCTCCCTTTTGGCCAAGCCGCTGTTTGCTTGAGGCTCGTTGAACTTGACACTCTCATCGGCATGTGTTTGCCAGTTAACTGCATGCACCGTTAACTTGACGTACTGCCCTTCTCGGTAGGTATTTACCCGTTTGCATTCAAATTTAACTGGACATAGTTTACTGCCCTCGTTTTCAGGTATTTGCCAGTGTGTACGCACCTTTAACTTGATATGCTGCCGCCATCGGCAGGTACTTTCCAGTTTGGATCTACAGTTACCGTTATCGCTGGTACCCATCGCCCTAAAACAGGCTATAGGAAGGGCTAATATCTTCATGATTCATGACGTAATTTCTTCCAACCCTCATTGGATAGAATTTGTTTGCACATTAAAAAGGTCAACACTTCCGTGAGGGCGTGACGCGCGTGACACGCGCGCGCTGAATGTTTGTCCATAAAAAGGCAGAAGCTACCCACAATCAATGTGCTTCCTTCACAAAATGTTGTTTGAAGAGAATAAGGGTGCATGCCAGTAAATGAATTACCTAAGCAGACCAAATCACGACTTGTATACCCTCAATTGTTTGCTATAAGAGCATTTTGTAGGCCATGAACTTGAGGGTCATTTGTAAACAAGAAGGGTGGAAGTTGCGTGTGGTCAGGTCTGCGCTGTATCAACAATTCTGTAAAATGTGGATGAAATTACGTCCTAAATTTGCCCTATTTTGCAATGAAGCATAGGCATCATTTTCCAAAATGGCGACAGGCTTCATGACCACCTTTAGGGATGATCATCTTTGGATAGAATTTTCTCCCAAAAGTGATTGAATTACCCCCCCCCCCCAAAAAAAAAAACAACCAGAAAATGAAGGACGATGAAATAAGCTATAATTTGGGGTGTCTCAACACCTTTGACAGTTGTGAATATTTTCCTGATCTTGAGAAGTGGGGCATTTATCACCGAGGTTTATGACAGTTTATTGGCTGGTCAGCAACCCATAGACTTCCCCAGCGCCCTGTATTGGGCGCTAGGTACGAGCGAAAAGTTAACTTGGCAAACTGCCCTCATCGCAGGTATTTGCTGCACATTTCTATGCACCGTTAACGCGCCATACTGCCCTCACGGTAGGAAGTGGTCAGTATGACACCGTGAATAGGTAGCCCTATTGTCAAGCTATGCTTCATGACCACCTTTCAAAGATGATCAAAGGTTGATCATATTTGGATAGAACTTAACTGTTTTGCAAATTTTAAATTCCCATCACTTGCTCAGGCTCCGTTTCGAATTCGCGAAGGGTCATTGCAGTATATGCGGCTGAAAAAATGTGTCCACAAATGGTCGGCAATGAAAAGAAATCACATCAGGTATGGAATGTGTGGCATTTCTATGAGAAAGTTTTCGGATAGCATTTGCGCGCATTAGATAACTGCGGTCTTGAACAACTGCAGCCAGATGCTTTATACATAGGTCATGATAAATTACCCAGAATGCCATCCCCACTTCCTTCACAAGACTCCGCGAAGCTCGTCAGCCCTTCCCAGCGCCCTGTAACGTTTGCTAGGACGGGGGGTACGAGCGAAACAAACACTTGATATCACCTCGAAGGACATAGTACCAGTCTATGGTTCCCAGTTGACAGGTCTGACACTCTGACGTCTCTCAGATAAGACTGTTAACTATTCAACACTAGCAGGGTAGCACCAGTTTACAGAGCGCTGATTGTCGAAAGAATACAGAAAGTTGCACCGCATGCGTACACGGCGCGACAGCTGAAAACAATCGTTTTTAGGTTGTAAGTTGTAACTGTGAGGTAAGATATTTTCACCAATTGTGGAAGCAAAATTACTGTAAAATACTAGGTGACTTTCAAAGCACCATTGTTTGTAACCTTGTGAGGTGTCTGCAGTTTAAGTCATGTTGTAAGTAGACTTTGAAAACCGTTGAAATTGAATGATTGACATGATTGAACTTGAAGTTCGAACTTAATTTCGACATGATTAAAATTTAGGCAGTGTATATTTTGCCGGAGACGGCAAACCTTTAGTAAACGTTAGTTTGCCGGATATGCACTGAACATGCGCAGTTACTGTTTTTTTGTACTTCAACATTTTCCGGTGACAAGTTTTAGTCTGGCTCCATGCCAAAATTATCGTTGTTAGGCCTACCTCGTATTCACAAGATGGGATTCAGACCATTTTATAATTTCGGACTTTATTTCCCTTTTAAAAAAAATCCTCCAGAGCCACAAATCTGAAAAAAGAAAATGTAATAGTGCAAAAAATGTTTGAGACATGTTAAAATAAGGCAGTGTATATTTTGCCGGAGACGGCAAACCTTTAGTAAACGTTAGTTTGCCGGATATGCACTGAACGTGCGCAGTTACTGTTTTTTTGTACTTAAAAACATTTTCCGGTGACAAGTTTTAGTCTGGCTCCATGCCAAAATTATCGTTGTTACCTCGTATTCACAAGATGGGATTCAGACCATTTTAAAATTTCGGACTTTATTTCCCTTTTAAAAAAAATCCTCCAGAGCCACAAATCTGTAAAAGAAAATGTAATACTCTGCAAAAAATGTTTGAGACATGTTAAAATAATAAAAGAAGAATATTCTTATTTATTTGGGGATGAGAAAAAAAAACTTTAAAATGTGGGGCGGTCAGAATCGAACGCGAATCATCCCGCTTGCTAGGGCCTTTGCTTAACCACTTCACCAAACGTGCTACACAACATTTGGTGGAAATTTAATACATCTTACAATTCAGCCCTATTTTAAAGAGTACAGCGCCCTCTGTTGATATGGATTGCCGCTGGCAAACCTTTAGTAATCGTTAGTTTGCCGTCATTACCTCCGGCAAAATATCCACTACCTTAAAATAATAAAAGAAGAATATTCTTATTTATTTGGGGATGAGAAAAAAAACTTTAAAATGTGGTGCGGTAGGATTCGAACGCGAGTCATCCCGCTTACTAGAGCCTTTGCTTGACCACTACACCAACCGTGCTACACTACTTTTGGTGGGAATTTAATACATCTTATAATTCAGCCCTATTTTAAAGAATACAGTGCCCTCTGTTGATATGGATTGCCGCCGGCAAACCTTTAGTAATCGTTAGTTTGCCGTCATTACCTCCGGCAAAATATCCACTTTCTAAAATTTATAAAAAAAGCCAATGTCTCTTCAATGCAATGACCCTCGGCGAAATCGAAACGGAGCTTGAGCAAGTGATGGGAATTTAAAATCGAAGTGGCTATCGTTACGGCAGCCGTTGTTTAGCGCCCTCTACGATACTTTTTCGATACGCACGCAGGTATATAATTATTTGTTTCCCCCTGTTTTAGCGAGCATTTGAGTTTTTCAGATTTTGTAATCAAACAAAGAAACATTCCGTAACATGCCCAATGTTTGAAGCCATATTTAAAAAAAAAAAATGACAGTAAAATAAGCATGATAAGGCTACGTTGTGCTTGCATATACATGTGTGTATACATGGCATAAATAGTCTGGCGCCATCCCATGATTAAGTAACAATTAATGAAATACATTCGGGAACTCGACAAAAATGGAAAACTCGTTAATTAAATTAGGTCCATAGTCAGCCAACAGACTAATGACATCGAACGAAGAGGTCAGTCTTAAAATAGTTACACCATGGTTGGACCATGGAGAAATAAAACACTATTTCTCCATGGTTGGACATGTGCAACTTTTGGTCTTTAGCCTCATATTGAAATTACTTGACTTCCCTCTCATGTGCAAAATATTGAAGAAAAGTCTCCTATAAAAATTGAATTGAGTTTCCAAACTTGGTTGGTGAAATTTTGCAGTAATGCAATTTTTTGGAGAAATTTGCTGGCTCAAGAGTGAGTAAAGTTGGCATGATTTACGTGTAGTTGTGCACATTTCCGTACTTCAGGTCCTAGCTGGAGTTACCCTGGGAAAGATTTCCATATACGAAGTTCACTAATTTTCCTCTGTATTGACTAACAAGCCCCCAGATAGCAATTTCATGTCATCAAAGTCAATTTGAGCAGTGAGAAAATACAAGCATTTTCTTAGAAAACACTTAGAATTTTTCAGTCCAATCTCATAGGGTTTGTACACAGGGTGTTGAGTGAACTTTGTGTATGGAAATCTTTCCTTACCCTGCCCTAAAATTTTGAGCTGAAGCGCGCGCACCTGATGACTGTTTGTCGGCCAACTTCGGCTGCAGTTCTACCTCTGCCGTGATGCGAGTGAAGCCTCATAGTTAGTGCAGCAGTAGTGCATCAAACAGTCGTCGGGTGCGCGCTTCAGCGCCATGCCGCGCCGCGCCGTGCAGTTGGCAAGTGTGACTGGTGGTTCGCTGTGTGTGCATGGTAATCGACAGCACTTTGCAGTTTGTTTGTGCACAAATCTAGCTCCGGGCATCATCATGACTGCACGGCTGTCGGTTATGCCTCTTTTTTTTTCACTGCAATTGTAGGCTGAATGTTCATCATGGATCGTTTTTTCCTCAAGGACCTGTGTAGTGTTTATTCCAGGCAAGGTTTGAGTGAGTCCCAGTTGAAATTAGTGCGTTACAGGGACAAAATTGCACATTTTCGAAAAAAAGATTTGGACCTGCCAATGCTGCAGGTCCAAGTGAAAAACTTCCTCCAGCCCTAAATGACAACCCAATAATAAAATTTAGGGCTGGGTAACTCCAGCTATCCAGGTCCCAATCTGGACTCCGTTCACTGCTCACCTAGGGGACTTGCACATCTTATGTTGTTTTTGTGTTAACATTTCAGCGTTAATCTGCCTCCATTGCAATGGATTCCGAATTTCTGCCAGATGGTCGTCTCTTAGACATCGTAGACGAAGCTTGGCGAAAAGAGAAACTACCACATGATGACATTGCTGTTCCTCAGGTATGTTGAGAACTTGCTAAACTTTGGTTAACCCTCCTATGCAAACATGCATTCTGTGCCAAGTAGTCCTTTCAGTCAAATCAATCAAGTGACTGTTTTAAACAGTTAAGAATTCCCAGCCTACATAAAGCAGGATTGACTGGCTGTGACTGTTGATGTATGCAGCTATGCTTTGACTGTGGGTAATTGATAAGCCAGCTGTGCCCACAACTTGCCTGCTTTGTCTGTTCATGGTCTGTTGACTTGACTAGTCACTGTGCTTGCTTGACATTTGATCTGACGGGTGGCTAGCCTGTGTTAAAAGTATAGCAGGGGAAGTGGGTGGACATTTTGACTGTCTGTGGCTGTTTAATTAGCAAGAGTGTTTATTAATTTATCCTGCAGAATCTTGACTGGGGGACAAACGCGCAACAGAATTTGCAAAGAACTTAATTGTGACCTGCCATATCATAATGAGGAATAACCCCCACCTTTGACTTTTCTAGTTACATGCATCATGTTAGTCCGAAAATTTGGGACTCTCAATACTGTGTATGAGAGTCCCAAAATTTAAGGTAGGCCTACTGAAAACATGCAATACAAGAAAATAGACTGGCACATGAAACAACCAGTCCAACAACTCTTCAGTACTGCATCAATCAACTGTCAGCTGACTGTGCCAAAAGAAATATGTAGGATGTTGGGTACTAGGTCACTATTTCTACACATTTCTCCTTAGTCAGGCACCAGACTAATGACACTGAATGAAGAAGTCAGTCTTGTTGGACCATGGATGGACATGTAGAAGTCTAGTCTTTAGCCCCATTTTGAAATCACTTGACTTCCCTCTCTTGTGCAAGCCACTGCAAAATATTGAAGAAAAGTCTCCTTTAAAAATTAAATTGAGTCTTCAAACTTGGTTGGTGAAATACTGAGGAACTTTTCTTTTGCCCAGTTTTGGAGAAATTTGCTGGTTAAAGAGTGAGTAAAGTTGGCTTGATCTTCTTTTGCATCATTTTGAGCACTTCAAGAGGTTGTGGAATGCTCGAAGACATTTCCGTCAATTTTTTGGGTATATGTAGCCTAAGGTGTGATGAAATAAAAACGACTGTTGTTTCTGTCATGAAATGAGTACAAAGGGTACTTTTGAGAGCTGTTTTTCAGGTCCTGTTTCGACCCGAACGCGCAATTTGTGTAAAAGTCGTCGTTACGGGCAGCAAACAAAACACAGTAAATCGTGACGTAATAAACAGGACTCGTTTATGCTACTCTGCATCGGGAGTCCTGTTTATTACGTCACGATTTACTGTGTTTTGTTTGCTGCCCGCAACGACGACTTTTACACAAATTGCACGTTCGGGTCGAAACAGGCATGACAGGACTTGAAAAACAGCTCTCATAAGTACTTTTTGTACTCATTTCATGACAGACACAATAGTCGTTTTTATTTCATCACACCTTAGGCCACATTTACCCAAAAAATGACGGAAATGTTTTCGAGCATTCCACAACCTCCTTAAGGTCCCAGTCTGGCATCGTGTTAGCTTTCAATGATACCAATTTTTTTTTTCCTGTAGCTTACTCTATTCCAAAGATATGCGGCAAGAACTTCAACAGTGTCCCGCCGAACTTTGCCGACCTCATTTTGAGAAAAATGGTTTTGACAACCACAGTAGTGCAAAGCATTATTCAGTTTCTCCACTTTTGGGAGTATTTTTTCCTAACAAAAATGCATTTAGTGTGAATCTTGGATAACTGGGTTACTCAGAAATACAACAAAAAACAAATTATTGATTTTGACAGTTTTTCTAGTATCCCTTACTTCAGGTGTTGATGACTCAAAACAAGGTTTTGGGGGACATTCCTCATTATTCCACAGAAGGTCACAATTTATGTTCAGCCTTGACATTGCATGGGAAAATCCACCAAAACAGACCATGAAGAAGTTAATTTTGTGATGTAAACTCAGTAAATAATGCCAATATGTACATGTACTTTCTTTTGTGTTCTCAGCATGAACTTCCTGATGTGTTTGCTGACGACGGCATGTCAGCAGAAACAATCAAAGAACAAGAACAGAAGTGGACGGATATGGCCTTGCAGAACCTGCAGGATTCCCAGGGAACGACCCATTCATCATGATGGAGCAGGTGCATGTGACAGCCAAAAACACCTGTGCGGTAAGATGCGACCCCCTCAATGGGTACAAAAAGAAAGTGGGGGAGACCACTTGGAGGGACATGCAAACGCATTGCTGACCACACCTGACGCTTACGTGAAGCCGCTAGATTTGTGCACATTCAGAATACAGTAAACTCCGGCTAAGTCGGCTCTCTCGGGACCCAAGAATTTGCGATGATTTACGCAAATGCCGACATCTGCTGTAAATCATCATTTTGCCGACTTACATGAATGGTCTTTTTGCACACATGGTTCATTGCACTAATTGGCTTCAATTTACCCTGGTTTAACTCCTTAATGCTTGAGTTAAATCCAGCAAATTAATCCTCGAATTGTATCATCACGTTTGGGATATTGAAAGTAGAGACAACGTGTACAAAATAGTACTATTTTGTACATGTGGTCTCCACATTATGTATGTGCACGGTAACAAATTAAATGCGTGCGTGGTCCGGTATATACCACACTCATGCATTGACTGCAGCACTAGTCATTCAATAAGACGACCCCTAAAATGGACAGAGCGCATGCGTACTGACGAGAGGGGGTACTGGAATTATAGATTGGGGCACAGCGCCATATTGATAAAAAGAAAAGAAAAGAAAAGGGCTAACAAATACTCAAATCACACACTTACCAAAACTACTAGCCGGAAAAACTAACAATTTCAAATGTCCCATTCTGCAGAGCAGAACAGAGCCTCCGTCTATTTCATGGAGACCGTAAGCATAAGCACAGCAAAAGGCACGCTTACTTCAGAGGAAAAATTGGCTTAACTTAGTGACGTAACAATAGAAATCTCCATGCACGTGCGACCGTTAGCACACACCATCGTGAAATAGTGCTTAAGGTTAGCACGTTTTCTGCTATGCTAAGCACAACTTTTCTGCTAACTGTTAAGCAGCGCCGTGAAATTGGGCCCTGCTGCAGTTGGTGACCATGCACAGAGACAGAGGCAGTTTGGTCTTCAGATTTTTGACCTCCTAGATCTTGCCCCACTGAGCAGGCTTGTTACTTGACAAGTGCTGCATGTTTGTTGCTGCATTAGCTAACCCCAACCCTGCTGAATCCAACAGTATCCAACAATATCATATACCCGATGGAACCTGTTGGATTGAGCAGTTAACCCCTTGTGTACATTCCTGATGCAAGATGTTGGATTCAGCAGAGAACTGAACCGCATTATAACGCATTGTTGGACTCCGTTGGATTCAGCAGACAACTGAAAATAAGGCACAGTGGATTGAGCAGGAAACTCCAGTTGGACTCTGTTGGATTTAGCAGGGTAGTCCTGAGGAATTTGTACAGGGTTAAGGTCAGGGTAAAACAAAATGATCCTGGACTAGGTAGGTGGCCTTGACTCCAACACCAAGTACGTTACAGCACGTTGCATGCTGGCCAAACGTTTTCCAGAGAGATTTTGACATTCTCTTTTGAATTGTAGTCAAAATTAAAGCCAAAAAAAATAGTACATGTATCTGCTTCTGATTACATGGCATTGGCAAATAGGGGTAGGTAGGTAGGGAAATGTTTTTTCTCTCCAATTTCTTTTTTTGTGTACAATCATATTGAGGCATCTGCATGTAGTCAAGGGTAAAAGGTAGAAATGGATGGTTTTAGGGTAGGGGCTGTCAGAAAAGGGTAGGAAGGGAAACCGGAAGCAGAACAATTTTCTTTCGGGCTAAGGATACTTGGTCAAATCGGCGCTTGTATTGTATGCTTACAACGAATTTGTATTGGTCCAGTTGTAAGTTTATAGCAAACTACTTGTTCTGTTATTGTCAGGAATTGTATCCTTTTTCTAGCTTTTTCCTTAACTTTTATGTCTTATGTCTTGCTGTTTATTACAAACAGGGTATGGCTGGAAAGTTTGGTCAGCATCTCTGAGACATTTTGAGGACAAGAGTCATCCCTGTGCCTGCTCCGTCTTCCATCCGTATTGCTTGTCGTTCAGAATGGTAAACAATTTGCCAAGTTGGCTTTCAGGACGATGAAGGGGAACATTCAGAAAGCTTGCAGAATTGAATTGGCTTCGAGAAGGAACCTGGCTAAGATTGACTCCAGACTAGTTTGAACCAAGACTTAAAGGGAATGTACAACATTTGCTTTTGCTGCAATTTTCAGAAATATATGGATTTGCAGGATTAGTATGTTATAGCAAATATTGTAACACTGACTTGTTTAACGTTTTGAGCTTGTACATGTAGATGCTGGAAAAACCAAGAAAACCAGTCATGTTCTTGTAGTCTGGTTCCCTGACCCCACTTAAGATGAAACAGAGAAATGTATAGACTTTGGGGAATTGTAAGGTCAGAGAATCAGTCTGGCAGGCTTGTACCCCTTCACAGATGTGTAATCAATTGCAAAGAAAATGCAGAACAACTGTTATGAAAAAGTCGGAGCAGTTTTTGAAGAAAAAAAAACAGTTTTCTCCAATGCTGGTCGGCTGACCAGCGTTGGAAAAATACAATTTTTGTTGCAAATTTCAACACACCAGGGAGACGCGATTGTACAGGATGCTTTAGACTGTCATTCCCTTACAATCCAGTAAAGGTATTTTGTGATAATTTGATCATTTCATTTTTTTTAAGAAATGATTTTTGCAAATGTTGTATCTTCCCTTTAAGTGTAATAGGATTGTTCTATTAATTTGGGTTTAGTTTTCTTCCTGTCCACACTGCATCTGACATCTATGATTTTATAATTCTGATGCACTCCTTAATGCAGTCATACAGTCCTCCAAGAGTTATTTTGAATAACAAATTTTAACCTCCCAACAAATAAAAAGTAGTTTGAAGTCATTTTTAATGACACTTGAATGGCAAATTGCAAAGTTCCGAGGTAATGGTTACAGGACAAATGTCTCACTTCAGACCCTGAATTTATAGAATGACCCATAATCTATGAGTGCACTGTAAACGTAAGTTTTGTTTTGTTTTTTGGTGTTTTTTTTTTATTGCGTCTAGCGCTTAAAACGTAAGTTTGACACTGGGGCGGTCGACCAATCTTTTCGCTCGTACCAGCCCCCCCCCCCCACCCTGCAAACAGGATGCTGGGAAGGGCTGATGTGTTCGAGCTCTCATTGGATAGACTTTGCGTGACTTGTGACGTAGCAGGCAGCACACAAACAAGCTACATCTGTTTGTCATACGCAGCGCGCTACTTGCATGTGAATTAGTTCATGATAGGTTACCCATAATGCCATCCGTACTTCCTTCACAAGATTCTGTGAAGCAGCATGTGGGGTGCTGTGGTGCAATGGTTACGGTGTTCGATTTGTGTGCCGTGGTACAATGTACATGTACATGAGTTCGAATCCTGGCCGTGGGAACATGGTGATTGTGCTCTTGAGCAAGGCACTTTACCATTATTGCTTCATCCTTCGACGTAAAGCCATAGGTCCCGTGTTTTGTGTAATGCAGAACCCAGTAACACTTATCACTAAGAGAAGGGGTTTGCCCCGGTGTTTCTGGCAGTGGCTGCAATATGCACCGCAGCACCTTGTCAACCCGTATAAGGTGCTACATAATTATAATGGGTCTCATATTTCTCATTTATACTTTATTTACCTTTCTTCTATTAATAGACATAATTTCCAGCGCCTTGAGTACCTAATTGTTGTTACATACGTGCGCTATATAAGACTCCGTTATTATCACCCCGTTATCATCAGCCCTTCCCAGCACCCTGTTTGCAGGGCGGAGGGTACGAGCGAAACCAATCTTGTGCATTTCTCAAATAGCTGTGATGACCTTTAACCTGGTTTCTGGTCCAGTCAGTGAATTATGGAGGGCGGTATACAGCATTAATGGTACTTAAACTCTACATGTACAGTGCTACATTCATTACATTGTGATTGATGATACACATTAGAAATGCAGGTAGCTAGTTCAGCCCTACCAGTCTCAGTTTTATTTATTCATTTTATTGTTTTGTTTTGCCATTGTGTGGCAGTGTAGTAGTGGCCAGTTTTGATTCTTGTATAAAAAGGTCCTGTGTATTACAACCATCTTCGAAGTGTGTACAAAAGTGACCTTCTGAGGCAAAATGAGGAATGTCCCCCAAAACCTTGTTTTGAGTAATACACGCCTGAAGTCAGACATACTAAAAAAATTGTGTCAAAATCGATATTGATTGTTTTGCATTTTTTAGCAGCCAAGGTATCCAAGATTCACATTATGCCTTTTTGTTTGGAAAAAAATACCCCAAAAGTGGAAAAAACTGAAGAATGTTTTTCACTGCCGTCGGCAGCGCAAGGCATGTCCTTTTTTTTCAAAGCCGTTTTTCTCAAAATGAGGTTAGCGATTTTGCAGGACACTGTTGAAGTTCCTGTGACATATCTGTGGAATGAATTAAGATACAGAAATAAATTTGATATCATTGGAAAGCCAATGATTTGAGCTTTAACATGATGTACATAACTTGAAAAGTCAACGGTGGGGGTTACTTCTCATTATGCTATGGCAGGTCACACTGTCTTTGTTTAAAAGCAAGGTCCAGTCAGTAGAGGGCGGTATACACAATATAAATCACTAAAAAAAAAATTGGGGGAAAATAATGTTAACAAATCAAAAAAGTCTTTTATAAGTAAAAAAAATGATACACTCACAGATACGAGCTTTTAAAGAAGGATTTTAACCCAATTTTAAAATACTGATGTTATTATTCCGTGAAGTATGCTGTTCTGGTAGTTGATATAATCTGGTAGGCTACACGTATCAGCTAAATGAATGCATAGATGCAAGGCATGTTACATATTCTTAAAGAGGTTAGTCCAGACAGTACGTTATTTATTATAATGTTGTAACATGAGTAACATGTACAATCAGCAAACTTTGTTTTTTGACCAGAAATAACACTTAAACAGATGACAGAGTTGTCTTCCATATAGTGGGTCCTTCACTCATGTTCAGTGCTTTGCAAATATAAAATGGTCTCCTCTCGTCTAATGCAAATTTGCCAGGACAGAATGTTGCAACCTTACGCTGCTTTTTTCTTCACATATCATCTCAATGAAGGTCTGTCATTGCAAAAACGATGATAAGACATGAACCTGGGACTGAGCAACATTTCCGGTTTTTATTAGGAAATACTTAAAAATTGTCTTTACTCTCCATAGACTCTGTACACAACCGCCGAAGTAGCGTCAGGTTGCAACCAGTGGCGTATCTTTGCCCCTTTGCACTTTGCCCCCCCCCCCCTCTATTTTTTTTTTACAGCAATAATATCACTAAATTGTTATAGAGTTCTAACATCAATACCACAAAAGAAACCCGCTCAAAAATCATTACAATGCGCCTTGAAAATGGTTATATAATTTGCAGCCCCCCCCCCCCCCCCCCCCCCCCCCGCTTTTGATTTTACGGAGGCCAAGTGTCCGGAGAAAAAACACATGTCTACAATTCAGCGCGGATGTGCGGTTGGCGCCCCATCCCCCCCCCCCCCCCCCCCCATCAAAAGCTGGATACGCTTGCAACATCACTTGACCTTCAAAAACACAAGTACTCCTTTCGCATTAGCAAGGTTGTGCACCTTGTCGAGATGGAAAACTACCCCTCGAAAGCACAAATACCCCTCTCACAATAATAAAACCGTGCCCCTCTCGAGATGGAAAATTGACCATCAAAAACAATAGTGCTCCTCTCGCGATAACTTATCGAGATGGAAAACTGCCCCTCGAAAGCACAATTAGTGTCTTGCTCGCAACATTAAAATTGTGTCCCCTCGCAAGATTGAAAAGTGGTCATCTGTCGTTTTCTTTGCATTTTTGGGTGGGTTGACCATTGAGCTTTCCCGACATTTTCACCCAAATAAGACGACCCCTATTGTTCCCAAAGCGGAAAAATAGCCATCTTGAAAAACGATCCCTCCACAAGGCATGACAAATAGCGCCACTTTCGGGCCCAATTGCATCCATTGTTCTCAGAATTGGAAGCCCAAGTCCGGGCCAGAGGTTCATTACCATATCTCTTCAATTCCCCAATTTTATGGCGCTCAGAACTCTATAATATGGAATATTTTTAGGGTATAACTTTTATTCATGAGCTCGGCCTATTCACCGGTGTGCCCCGTCTGTCTTCTACCTGCAAAAATATTCACTATACCCGGTACTTGATGATAACGTACCACCAATTCTGCTATCGTAGTCTGGAATTTATTTCAAGGTTAATGGACGTTAATCAAAACGCATATTATTGTTTTCAGGATCGTAAAAGCATATAGGCATAACATGTACCTGTACATGTACATGTATATTCGTACACGTATACCGGTATTGTGATGGGCAACTCTCAATAGTCAGGTGGCTTAGATCTAATTTTCGTCAAGATCGTGACCGACTGGTCCAAAGCACCAAACTTGGCAGATATATTCTTATAGACCTAGAGAAGATATTTAGAAGGGGTGACACCTGAAATTCTTTTGGGAAGGGTGCCTAATTTGCATAAATCGTTAATCCCTGACGTGTAATATATTTATTCCCAAATTTGGGTATATTTCCATTTTTTTATTTTTTTGAAAAGTATATTTTGGGGATTCTACTTACATATCTTTACTTAAATAACATTTTCCAAAGCATATAAGTGACTGAATAATTATGAGGACATAGTAACGATCCAAAATGGCTACTATTATGACCTAAAATTGCGCGCATTTACCTTGTCTCCAGATATCATCAATTAGTCTTGCCAAACATTAGCATTGATGAACTTCAAATTCACCAAGTAGCTTACTGGTACAGCAACCCTATTAAAACCTTATGCAAAATCATGTGAACTATGATAACATTGTGATATTAAGCCCAGCAAACAAAAACTGGGGAAAAACGAGGTGTCCATAAATTAGGCTAACAAGTAGGTGAATGGTTGCCTAACATGGAACACTGGAACAAGTTCAAGGAAATTCCCCTAATAATTGTTGAGAAAACGTTTTGGCGTAGACAAAATTATTGTAAACAACAATAATCTCTTATTTAGGGGGATTTTTTTGAACTTGTTTAAGTTCCCACGTTACCCTTCCCGTACTAGCCCAATTTACGGACACTACATTTTCTCCCCTTTTTTGGTCTTTTGGGCTAAGCATCAAGATGTTATCAATTTTCACTTAATTTCCCACTTATTTTTGTTAGGGTAACTATGCCAGTAAGTAACTTTGTTAATTTGAAGCTCATCAATACCCACGTTTGGCGAGACTAGTTGATGATATCTGAGGAAAAGGTAAATGCGCGTAACTTTAGGGTAAAATAGTAGCAATTGTGGTTCTTTACTATGTCCTCCTAATTATTCAGTCACTTATATGTTTTACAAAATGTTATTGAAGTGAGAATATGCAAGTAGAATCACAAAATACACTTTTTAAAAAAATAAAAAAATAAAAATATACCCAAATATGGGAATAAATATATTACACGGCAGGGATTAACGATTTATGCAAATTAGGCACCCTTCCCAAAAGAATTTCAGGTGTCACCCCTTCTAAATATCTTCTTTAGGGCTATAAGAATATATCTGCCAAGTTTGGTGCTTTTGACCAGTCGGTCACGATTCCGACCATATGCCACCTGACTAATACAATAAAAAAAATGTCATTCACTCATGTATATACATTTGTATATACATTGTATATGTATTTATAAACAAGACACACACACATTTACATGTAATAATAATAACAATATTTTATTCTCGTCGTTTAGCGTTTTACATTAAACTCTCCGAACGCTTTACAAAATATCGGCAGAACCACATAAAAATAAAACAATTAAGTTCAAAAGTAGTACTTAAAACTACGTTTTAAAAAAAGAAATATCTTAAGCTGTGATTTATTTTTTTTCCAATTCATTAATGGCATACATGAATACATGTTCATTGCATTATACATTCATCTATTCTACCCGTATTGTGTCCAGCATGGACTTTCCTTGGAGTGCAATGACCTCTTTGTTATTGATCAGAATTATTTAAAAACACGAATCATTTCGAAATTTGGAACTTAATTGCGTCGGGTGATGTAAATTCTATAATGTCTTTTGGGGGCCCTTCACCGATTTACTTTCATTTAAAAACTGTAGTATTGTCGCGAGTGATTGAGAAAAACAAATCACGAACTATATTAGCATGGGACTGGAACCCACAACCTCCTGATTACTAGTGCACGGATATCTTCCCACTCGATCACCCAGCTTGCCGCGGTCGGCTGACTGCATGGTCACTCTGATGTATAGCAGCGGGTACACCGCCCATACCATCAGATGGAATTTGGGAATCACGGATTCTACACACAAGGATTAACGACTCGCCCAACTCCTGGTTAGACGCGTGATAACGGCCCGTACTGGTGGCATATACCATGAATACTTTCCAACAAAGACCACTGCGCGCGGTGGCTTTCAGATTTGCAAAGCTCTGTGCCCGATCCGGGGTCGAAATCTGTCAAGCCAGCGAATTATATTTTTGAATATTCATGAGTCAACGTTTTTGGTCTTTATTATTGAATTGTGATAGGTGATAACTACATAACCATGGTAATGCCGAGCACAATATCTTTAGCTTTAAGATGAACAATGAAATGCCACTTTTGTTTCATCGTTTCGGCATCACATCTCTCTAAAACTTTTTAATAAAAGCCTAATTAAAAACGAAATTTGGGTAAACAGTGTTCTCGAAATTTGACGTGTATTTCTCGGGTGAACACTTCATCTATGACGACAAAAACTGCACAATACCATCTGTTATATCCTGAAGTATTTATTTTTTAATAATTTTAGAACAATTATATCTTAAATAAGGAGTAGTTTTGCTTACAGTTTTATGAATATTTCCGTTTTAGATGTCATGCGAAAACCAAACACAGTGGCACACCTGGAAAATTCGCGATTACAAGCGCTTAGCCAACGGATATTAATGCCCGTTATCACGCGTCTAGACAAGTCCGCTCAGTGCATTTTGTTTTAGAGCTCAGAACAGTCGTTTATCCAGGTGTCTAGGAGCCGTGATTCAATACATGTATTGGGTTTTGTCCTTCACTAACGTGGTTTCTTAAACACTGTATATATATTCATCAGTGTTAATATAAGTCCAGAGTAATTGTAAGAAAAAATTACTTTCCCGTCACATCCACGATCTCGTCGAGATGCACAACCGCGTATTCGAGTTGCACGGACTCGTCTTCACGTTCCCAGCCTGGTCTTCCAGTTCGACAGCCTCGCCTTCTAGTTCGACAGCCTCGCCTTCGCGTTCCCCAGCCTAGTCTTCCAGTTCCACAGCCTCGTGTTCGAGTTCGACAGCCTCGTCTTTGTGTTCCACAGCCTCATCTTTACGTTTCCCAGCCTGGTCTTCCAGTTCCACAGCCTCATCTTTGCGTTCCACAACCTCGACTTCACGTTCCTTAGCCTGGTCTTCCAGTTCCACAGCCTCGTCTTTGCGTTCCACAACCTCGACTTCATGTTCCCCAGCCTGGTCGTCCAGTTCCACAGCCTCACCTTTGCGTTCCCCAGCCTGGTCTTTGCGTTCCACAGCCTCGTCTTCCAGTTCCACAGCCTCGTCTTTGCGTTCCACAACCTCAACTTCACGTTCCCCAGCCTGGTCTTCCAGTTCCACAGCCTCGACTTCACGTTCCCCAGCCTGGTCTTTGCGTTCCACAGCCTCGTCTTTGCGTTCCCCAGCCTGGTCTTTGCGTTCCACAGCCTCGTCTTCCAGTTCCACAGCCTGGTCTTCCAGTTCCACAACCTCGTCTTTGCGTTCAAAAACCTCGACTTCACGTTCCCCAGCCTGGTCGTCCAGTTCCACAGCCTCACCTTTGCGTTCCCCAGCCTGGTCTTTGCGTTCCACAGCCTCGTCTTTGCGTTCCACAACCTCGACTTCACATTCCACAGCCATGTCTTCCAGTTCCACAGCCACGCCTTCAATTTTGACAGCCTCGTCTTCGCGTTCCCCAGCCTGGTTTTCCAGTTCCACAGCCTCGTCTTCGAGTTCGACAGCCTCGTCTTTGCGTTCCACAACCTCGACTTCACATGCTACAGCCTCGTCTTCCAGTTCCACAGACACGCTTTCAATTTTGACAGCCTCGTCTTCGCATTCCCCAGCCTGGTCTTCCAGTTCCACAGCCTCGTCTTCGAGTTCGACAGCCTCGTTATGGTGTCCAACCCCTTCCCGGCTCAGCCTGCTCTGTCCCCGTATCATCATCATCAGCCGGCTGCTGCCGCTGCCGACCGCCTTGAACATGCGCTGCTTGTGGTAGCGCCACACACCGGTGAACACGGTGGAGAACACGGCCATGCTGATTAAAAAGTACAGCATAACCCCCACCCTGTACAGGTATTCCCCTGTTTCGGTGCGGTACTGGGGTGGTAGAGCGGCGTGTGAGGGTGCTATGTCCCCGAACCCGACGGTACTCAGAGCGACGAAGTTGAAGTACTGCGCCGTCAGAAGAGACCAGTTCTCCAGAGGAACAAAGATGGCAGCCGGGATCATGATCAAGACAACCCAGAGGATCATAAACGTGACCAACACACCAAGGATGTTCCGTACTCGTTGTGATTTGACTGATGAGGTCCCCCTGACGAAGAGATTGAAGCACTTGATCCAGACCACTTGGCAGGTGCTTCCGATGACAGACAGCATGTAGCCGTTGAGTGCTATTCCGGGGATGGCGAAGACCACGCAAAAGATCCGACCCCAGAGAGTCGAGGGAGTGATCCAGCCAAAACCTGCATCGGATTGAATTTGATAAAATCGAGTCAAAATAACGTCGATCATTGCAAAAGCATGAATAGCCTTCCAGTGACAGATCTTAGGGGGTGGGGTTCAAAGATATGTCTACGGCAACACCCCCTCTTGGGACGACAAAAGGGTTATCATACAGAAAAACACAGCAAATTAATGTCTTATCTATAGCCGAACTCCGGCCGCATTTTTTTCCCGTATACGCGGGCTGCCCAAAACGTCATGCACAGTTAAAGTTTTCCTTTGATTCATTGCAAGGCACTTAGATTCTCGTTCTCCTTTTTCCTTTTACATTAAAATGATCTCAACGATAAATTCAGAAAAGAAAAATAGTTGATGAAAATGAGCAGCGACGACGTGGATTCCAACCAGATATCTTTGTATCCATACCTCATTTTGATATCCACTAGGCTACCAACTAGTTGCTTTACGACGTTCGTACTTTAAAATGCTTTAAAGGTAACTGGTTGAAATAACAGCAATACTCTTGATATGCTTATGCTTGATCGGTGATCCATGGAGCAAGCGTTCTATATTCCCTCGGCCTCACCTCGGGAAAATAACTGCTCAACGGATCAACACGGGAGGCTAGTTTGACTACACCGCTCGAAGCAGTCAATAGCAAAACCCAAATTGCGGGGATAAAAATAAGTATGTATTACTAATGATGTGCATCGGGTTGGGTCGACCAGGCCAAACCGCGGACCCGAAAAATTAAAGATATAAACCGAATCCGAGCCGAAACCAATCTTAACTCCCTTAAAACCGACCCGACCCGACAAAAAATAAGGTAAAACCGACCGGAACCGACCCGACCCGACAAAAACCCCGAATACTTGGCTTGGACAAAGTGATCACTTTTTTGTGCCTGCCCTTAACCACATGGCATGAATTCTTTTGCAAAACCATCGTCTCTCTCTCTCATCTGTCATACTCAGTGGGTTGATCGAGAGTAACTCCGCCTATTGAACAAACGCATGGTCACCACGCAGTATCATGAAAACTATTACAATCTATCTATTTCACTGTCAGTCCCGATCCGACTGGAAATTAATACCGTGGGAACTTGATAGTGCGCACGTTGGCCTCACCACGGTGGGTTGCGGTCACAGTGACTGTCAATGGTATTGCATCACCTGAATTTCTCAACTGTTTCGGTTTATTTCGTGGTTTTTTTCTTCAAAAGATGGCTTAACCAACCCGACCCGAAAATGTAAATGCAAAACCGAAACCGACCCGACCCGAAGTCGGTTTCGGGTCGAGTCGGTTTCGGGTCGGGTTTGCACATCATTATATACTGACCCATTGTAGTCACCACGGTATAGCAGAAGACATAGGCGTTCTGAATTCTCCAAGTGTCCCTCCATGGGCCGCCAGCTTTGACGGGCAAATGGAGAACACTTCGTGACCAGACGGTCTGAATATCCTGCCACAGCGACCTCATGGCCTCAGCATCCACACACTCGCTGTGATTGGCTATGAAACGCTTCACTTGCGCGCGTAATACGCGCTGTCCCGCGACGGAGGAGTCTCTCTCGATGAGTACGAACGCTAACGAGCCCAACGCAATATACACCGACAGCGTGATGACCAGAAGAATGGACTTGACCCAGACTTTCATCATGTTGAAAGGAAAACACACAATGAAATTGTAATCCAATTTCTCTGAGAAGCGTTCAATCGGTGTTCTATCGATACAAGTTACTCTGTGATAGTGTTTAAGGCCTTCACGTTTACTCCACGGTTGACCAATGTCAAGCAATCATATACTTACTATTAATGACTGTATACCAGACGGCGGGATATAAAACACTATTAAGATTGTTGCTGGTATAATTATACCGTTTTATATAAGAGATTTTTTTTAAATGCAGGGCGGTTCGCGTATTTTTTTTTTTTTCTCGTTGGACTTAGGAGGGTTGGGGCCAAGTCATACATTACTCAGTTTTTCCTTTGAATCATTGCAAGACACTTTACCTCGTTGTTTTTGTTATCTCAACGATAAATTTAGAGGGGAAAAAATAGTCGATGAAAATGAGCAGCGATGACATGGATTCGAACCAACCAGGCATCTTTAAGTTTGTATCCATAGCTCATCTCGCTATTCACTAGGCTACTGTGGGGATGTGTAGCTCGACGACGACCGTATTTTAAAATGCTTTAATGTAACTGGTTGACTAAGTAACAATGCTCTTGATGTCATTGTTCTGTTTTATGAATAAACATAATGGCCCGATTGAAACTACTGAATTATTCATGACTTGGCCCCCGTCCTCGGAATAACAATTACGTGGGCGGTTCATTTGTGCGCAAAATAAAGCCCCCTGGCCCTCGGAGGGTTGTAGACAACCGGACTTAACACTTAGTAGTCTATTTGTTAAAGGGTCCGTGAAATGAATTTTTCTAAGGGACATATTTTGTGTAACTTTCTACTCCTCCTAAATATATGAAGACTATTTGACATCCCCTTTTGGTTAATTTCATTGAAAGTGCACTCCAGAAAACATTACAATGTCCACGTTTTTCTGGACAACAGAGGGCGCTGTTTAATACTGTGATGTCATTTCAGGGAGACAGTGTGCAGTTTAGGGGTTTTCTGTTCAAATGTGAACCCAAAAGGTTGCTCATGAAAACATCTCTGTGGAAAAGTGTGCTCACTGGCGTACTGCCATATACTGACACACTCTCAAAAAGATATGTAAAAAAATAGGTAAAACTTGATATGTAAAATAATACACAATGTCGGTAAAATTCGCCGGAAAAAAAGTACCTCGAAAACATGTAAACTGAAAAATACATATTGAATGAGTGAAGCAGTCAGTTTACCTTAATTATGTAAAAACGTACTGCAATTAGGTAAAACGTACTAAAAACAAGGTAAAAACGTACACGCGGAGACGCGATGCGGTTAGCGCAGCACAGCATAAGATGGAGTACACGTGACGATCTGTAACTAACAACGAGGGGATGTATCGCAGCTAATGTCGGTCTTTGAAGGTAACATTTTCTAAAGCTCTTGCGATTGTTATAACAACGAATCACCAAAGAACAGAAAATTCACAACAGCAAAATATCCTAAATTCTGCCAACTTCGGTGCTGAAATAACTGCAACGTTGGGGTATCTGCCTGAAATTAATAACATCACACTTTTGCTCATGAATATGTAAATTTGTATTAGCATAAAAACAAAAGGCACAAAATACCTTTGAAAATGGCAAAACGAAAATTGAAAATGAGGTTATGGGATACAAAGGTGTATTTTCAAGGACATGAAAAAAATCACATATTATGGCCCTTTAAACAAAACTCAAATAGAAAACTTGTTGGAAGAATAAAACATTATAAGAGCACAGGAATGCATCTTTAAGCCTTTGCAATTAACGCCATAACATTTGTTGCTGGTATTGTAGTGTTGCATTACCCAGTAACTAAGCATTGGCCTCAGGCAATAAGAGTGTAAAAACAAAGACTGTGCTTAAGATGTCTCGGTGTTCACAAAAAATTCACCTCAAGATAATGCCCAAGATGAGATAGACACATAGAAACCAAAATAAAAAAAGTTATGGAAACTTTGCCCACTTCATTTATACAATGTATAAGCACAAAAAGGTTACCAGCCAAACTATGATACAATGCGCATGGCTGGTGACTGGTTCCCCGTTGAAGTTGCTGTGCGCATAAACTTGCTTACACTTTCTGGTTTTCAGCTCCATTAGTCAATTTGAGGTATGGCCGACACAATAATGAGGGCGCTATTTGGTTTGGGTAAATAAAAGAAAAGACTTTACCGAAATCAAACAGCGCCCTCCTATTGTGTGTAAGAGATCTCAAACAGGTTAATGGGTTTGCCTGGTGTTAATATATATATTTAATATGTAATCTCATTTTAATCCATATTCCAAAAAAATAGCATATTAGCGTTAACTGTTATAGCACTGCGCATGGGTTGTCTCGGAAGCAAATTATTGTCCAGGGACTTCACCCTTTCGATTTAAGATTATTTGGAGCAATGTTTGCATCAAAATACACTTATCCTTTTTTTACTTATTTTTTTTAAAAGCAGTAGGTTTTACTTAAGATTGTATTAACTCAACTTTAAATGTCACATGAGTCTATCAATCGCAGTTAGAAATATTAACAAAATCATCAAAAAACTTCAGTAAGCAATCAAAGGAATGCCCCCGTCTGCTTAAGTTGCTTGAATATCTCATCTGTTTTGAAATGACATGCACGTCTTTCTTATCACCGTGTCTGATTTCTTAATTGAAATGGTTACTCAACTAACTCAACTCAAGCTAAATCAACGTCCATGACAAACGTTTACCATTTGATGGTGAACTTTAGGTATGAACAGCACGGCTATACTGCTGCAATGCTACGGTGAATTGTGAATAATCTGACCAAAAGAACAATGAGTATACAAAAGAAAGCGAAGCCATATCCTCACTCAATCTCAGCCAAACCAACTGTCAATGACAAAAGGTGGCCATTTCATGGTCAAGTTTAGGTATATACATGTATACTGGTGCAATACTATAATCTGAATACAACAATCTGAGTACATTGCATATACAAAAGAATACAAAGCCACACTCAACTAAACTAATTATGTTATACTTTCAATGACGTCACAGGGCTTTTGGAGTCGAGTACCAAAGAATGTTTATGTCCCTTCAGTCTCGAAAGTTTACTGAAACTCAAAAATCAGCATGAGAACGCTTACATTATTACCAATTGTAGCATTTTTCTATCTCTATTTTTATAAACTATTATCATCTATTACTTTTCTGCTAACCTATAAATGCTACTTGAGCTAGACCGTGACTTATTTAGAAGGCACCAGGCTGCATTAAGCACTATGATCATTCTACTGATGGCTGTAACGCTATGGGATCAGCAAATGTAGAGCGTTGATAGAAGAATTACTAGCATCTCTAGACTCAATTCCACTTTCTCTTTCTGTTTGAAAAATTGGAATTTAGATGCAAGTAGGCCTAACACAGTTTTTCGTCTATCCAGCACCTATGTCGATCCCATAGCGTTTAATACGACCACCCAAAAATTGGTAGTGCTAGAAGGCAAAATATATGGTGCCTTCTTATTCTAGTAGACCAAGTTGCCATGCAATCAGAATCGGTCAACCCACATGGCATTACTCCTTCGCATATATCTTGACTGACTGGCAGTCAGCCACTGCCAGCCGCTGCCCATCTGCTGTGAAAGTTAGTCCGTACGGGTTGTACAGATCCTTGGCCACGCATGCGATAAACCGCCCTCTCGTGTCGTAGTGGTGAACATGACACTTGTTGTAGGTCTTGGTGGTCGCTGCGATGTAGATACCGGAGTCATCAGCGCACATACCTCGGCAGTCCTTCGCGGGTTCGTCGCCCAAAATCGGATGGATTTCCCCCACTGTGGTAGCTACATCAGTATCGGAGACCTCAATGATAGACACCGACTTGGGCTGGGTCAAGTCACTGATTGCGATCAACTCGACGAGTTGACCAAATCGCTGGTCATGCATCACGGCTAAGAAAAAGGGTTTGATCTTGACTCGTATGGTGTGTAGAATCGTTCCATCTGGGCTGTGCTCGGTCAACACCTTCATGTCATCACCCACGATGATGTTACCATTTGTCTTGACTGCCAAAGCGATGAGGTTCACTCTACGCTTCTCATCCTCACTCACCGTCTTGAACTCGGAGACATACTCTGCGTTCTCTTTGTTGTATAATTGGACCGCAGTAGGATTAGCAATCACCCATCGTTTGGGTGTAGCCGCCACGTCATCTGAAGAAAAGAAAAAAAAAACAAGTGCGAGTGCACAATAAGCTGTGGCCGTGTTGCAAGAAGTCTTGCATGGAAACGATCAAATTGATCCCTACCAGGGCTTGAAACATGCGACGACGAAAAATTCGGGACAGGCACAGACAGTGACCATCCGACCAACCGACCGACCATAGCGACCACCAAGTGACATGAAGAAGCTCTTGCTAGAGCTTAATAACCCAAATTGGCGGAAATGTTTAACTTGCGACAGTGAGGTTGAATAAAAAGAGCATTTTTTGCACAGTATTTAAAGATGCGCCACGATCTAGGCAAAATAGTATAAAGAACTGTTTTTGGTTTAACTTTAATTGATTACAGATTTTGTTTGAGCGATTATCTTGCATCTGAGGGCGCTGTTTTTGTGATGTAACTTGACACTCAATGGACCATTTGTTTGTAAATGGATACAATTCATGGTCACGTGACATCCCCTTTTACTGGGAAAATAAGCCACTGGTGTATTTCTATTATGTGAGTGAGTTTTGAAAGGGGAGACTAACATTGGAAATATGAGGGAAATAGCGAAAAACAGAGATGGTGTCTGCTATTAGCTTATCTGTATCTGAGATATGGCGGACATAATAGGAGGGCGCTGTTTGAGTTGGGTAAAGTCTTTTGTAATTGCCGAAATCAAACAGCGCCTCCTATGGTGTCTGCCATTATCTCAAATAGGCTAATGCCATTCGCCTGTCGGCAACCGACAGGCATGGTGCATGATCACAATAGTCTACGCAGTTTAATACGTGTATGAGGTACGACGAGAGGGCGTCCGTGCATTGGTAGCACCTAATACAGTGTTTAATTGATGTTACATGAAAGTGCTGGGGATCTTACTTGCTGCAACGCTAATGGACTTCCAGTTGTTTCCCTGACTGTTGCAGATGACGACACGCCCATTCTTCCTGTCAGTCACTGCAATCTTGTCCGGCGTAGCCGCAGCAATGCCTCGTGCACC